TCTTGCTTTTTGGGCAAAGAGGGCTAGAACTATATTGTATTGGCCAATCGGCACTGAGTGGGTGATGTGCTGACCATCCTTTACTTCTCAAGATTTTACCTGGCACCCATTTAAGCCTGCATTGACCTGGAAGATAGAGGGATTATTTTTTAAAGTGCGGCTCCATTCGGATGTGAACCCAAGACCTTAAAATCCAGAGGCAAGTGTCTAGTCGCTAAACAATGGCAACTGTGGAGCTGAGTGATTGTTAATTCATTCATAAATGCACTAGACTAATGATAACCTGTTTACTTCATCACGCATTACTACTTAGAACAAATTAATAAATGCTCAGTTTCTCTTCATAAAAAAAATAAAGACTTTCTTCTTCTGTCGCATGTCGCAGAAGTATCTTAGAGTTTTGTTAAATCTATACTCCTCTTTCTTGTGGTGTAGAAGTTTACTACAGTCATATTTTAGTCATACATTTTCTACATCAGTATGCACAGCAGTCATTTTCAACCTAGGGGTTGTCAAGCAATTTTGAAACTGAGCGCCGTTGTACTTTTAATAATCTCTTATACTAAAGTATTTTCAACGCAATCACAAATATGAAATCTTTTTTCTTCGCACCACTGTGTCAATATTCATCTTCTGGACTGTAGTCCTGTTCCAGAACCTAAGTGTTGCATGCGAATCCTTTTTACAGATCTGACTTATTTGTATGCAAACTGCTGGTTCCTTGCCTCTCAGTCAGATGCACTCTGAATTCAAAGGAAGCTCTTAATTAATGGACTCCTATGACATGCTTTTGGGCAGGCAGTGGGTCTATTTTTGTTTTCCCTAGAATAGGGCCAAAGAAACAACTAAAATATTTTTAAAACTAAATATAAAACCAAAAAGCCAAGGTTTACTCAAAGTTCTTGTTAATGGTGCTTGAGATTTTTCTCTTTGTCTTCATCCTTTCAATCATATTTATTTTAACGCTGCTGAAAAAACAAAGGCGGTCTTGACAACTAACTCACAGGATCAGAAAGAAATCAGATCACTGGCTATCCTTAATTGGTACAAGAATTTCAAGACTTGTGCGGATATTTCATGTCTCCCAATGAACAGTATATTGTCTGCAGCAAATTGTAAATGGCGTCACTAAAGACCTTCCAAGACCAGAAAGACCAAGGATGACCATGCAAAGTCAAGACCAATTTATCTGCACAGTTCATTTGTGGAAGCATTTCCAATCTTCTAGAAGGACAACACATACACAAATGGGCCAGCAAATAACAGAGACATTTCTCTGAACAAGCTTGTACGCTGTTTCATTGAAGCAAACACAGTCCAATCTGGCCTATCCGACGCCATTGACTTCAGCCAGGCCACATTCAGAAAAGACTTCACTGGGCAAATGCGCCCATCAGATGACCTCAAACGCAATGGCAGTCTGTCATGTTCTCAGACAAGTCCAGTTTAAGAATGGAAAGGCAGGAAGACAAAACAAATTAGGGTTTACAAACATCCACAAGGACTCTATGCTCATAACTGCATCTGTGGGGCATTGAACTTTAGTGGGGGCAGCAGCATCAAATGGAGAGGATTAACAGACAAATGTAGAACAGCAGCTAGTGCCAATTAGGGGAATATCACTGGGCAGCTGTACATACACAACGTCCTAACAGCACATGTTGTGCCAAACTAATGAACAAGACTTGTATGCACAACACTGCAACCCTTCATCAAGCACAAGTACCACTGCATTTCTCTTGCAGAACAACATCAATGTTCTTCATCAATGGCCACCAATTTTATCTCATCTTACCCTTAAGCACATACTTGCAGCCATGTCTGAAATCTGGCAAACTCACCTCAAAATCTGTTACAACATGAAGTTGCAGATTTTTTTTTCAGAATGCTTGTTGACCGCTCAATGTTGTTTATGTTATGAACTGCAGATTCAGAAAATGTCTAGTGGCTTGTTGCCAGAGAACTTGTAGTGCCTTCTGCAATTAACTGCTTGGGCAACTATTGATCTGTTGTAACTGCTGCTTCAATCAAGGATGTGCTGCATTTCTAGTGTCAAACTGTTTGTGTTGCACTTCTGACTGCTGCCTTGTGCAATACTCTTGTGTAAACAACTATGGGGTGAACAGTTTGCTATGAAGCTGAAACTGAGATTATCTGACTTCTTCAACACTCTAGAGTGTCAGAGAGAAAAGAAAGAAAGAAAGAAAGAAAGAAAGAAAGAAAGAAAGAAAGAAAGAAAGAAAGAAAGAAAGAAAGAAAGAAAGAAAGAAAGAAAGAAAGAAAGAAAGAAAGAAAGAAAGAAAGAAAGAAAGAAAAAAAGAAAGAGAAAAAGGAAGGGGGAAGGGAGAGGGAGGGAGGAAGGAAGAAAGCAAGGAATCAAGGATTACCTTCTCTAATTCTTTACTGTGACAGCTTCCACCAACAGAACAGTCCTTCCATGTCAGATAATCCACCACTGACAGTGCAAATGTGCTCGGCCAATTGCCACCTATTAAGTTAGAAGTGGATCAGAAAAGTAGGTTACTCTAGGCTATAGGCATATGCATCAATGCTCACTGCTGTGACAATGTTCACCACTATGTCAGTGTTCACTGCTGTGTCAATGTTTACCCCTGTTTCAATGTTCACCACTGTCTCAATCTTCACCAATGTGCAAGTGTTCATCCTTGTGTCTCAGTGTTCATCAGTGTCAATGTTCACTGTTGTGTCAATTTTCACCACTATCTCAGTGTTCACCACTGTGTCAATGTTCACTGTTGTGTCAATGTTCACTGTTGTGTCAATGTTCACCAATGTGCAAATGTTCGTTCTTGTGTCTCAGTGTTCATCACTGTGTCAATGTTCACTGTTGTGTCAATGTTCACTGTTGTGTCAATGTTCACTGTTGTGTCAATGTTCACTGTTGTGTCAATGTTAACCAATGTGCTAATGTTCATCCTTGTGTCTCAGTGTTCATCACTGTGTAAATGTTCACAGTTGTGTCAATGTTCACCACTGTGTCAATGTTCACCAACCTTTATATCAAAGTTCACCACATGTTGTGTCTCAACATTCACCACTGTGCAAATGTTTACCACTGTGTCAATGTTCACTGCTGTGTCAATATTCACCACTGTCTCAATGTTCACCACTCTGTCAATGTTCATCATTTTGTCAATGTTCACCACTATGTCAATGTTCACCAACTGTTATGTCAATGTTTATCACTGTGTCAATGTTTACCATTGTGTCATAATATTCCCAACTGTGTCAATGTTCACCATTGTGTCTCAATGTTCCCCACTGTGCCCATGTTTACCACTGTCTCAGTGTTGACCACTGTGTCAATGTTTACACTGAGCCCATATGCACCACTGTGTCAATGCTGACCACTGTGTAAATGTTCACTGCTGTGTCAAGGTTCACCCTTGAGTCAATGTTCACCAATGTGACTATGTTCACTATTATGTCAATGTTTACCACTGTGAATGTTTACTACTGTGTGAATGTTTACCACTGTGTCAATGTTCATCGCTGTGTCAATGTTTACCACCATGTCAATGTTACCACCATGTCAATGTTACCACTATGTCAATATTTACACATGTGCCAATGTCACCACTGTGTCAGTGTTTACTACTGTGTCGATGTCACCACTGTGTCAATGTTCATCACTGTGTAAATGTTTATCATCATAGTAGTAGTCATCGTAGTCGAGGTTCCACCACCACCACAGATGGGTTGCCCCATAACAAAATTTCCCTCAGTGTCCCATTTGAAAACCAGTGAACAAACAATCAATAGATTTCAGTCCATGTGGGGAAACTGCATTAGCAAAGCACTGCTAGAAGCAAAAATAACTTAAAAAACTAAATGGACTGCCTTGCCTTTCCACCATACTGGACCAGAATACCACTGTTCATCACTGTGTCAATGTTCAACATTATGTCAATGTTCACTGCTGTGTTAAAATTTATCACCATGTCACTGCCTGTCATTACATTGTCTTGTCTTGTCTTGTCCACAATTGCCTCACAGCGTAGTGGGGAGTCGCAGTTTTCTATCCTGGGCCAGGTGTGTTGCACGTGTTGTTGTTAGTCCGTGTTGCCTCAGGATCTCTGATATATTGTCTATCCATCGTACTCTCGGTCTGCTTCTTGCTCTAGGGCAGTAGTGCTGTTCGTTGTATGCTCGTAGAGGCAGTTGGTCGGTTTGCATTCGCATCAAGTGGCCAAACCACTCTATTTGTTGCTTCTTTATGTATTGCAGGCATGGTGTGGTTCCTGCAATTGCTCATGTTCTCGTTTCAAACTCTGTCTCTCCTTGTGACATTGGCAGCCTTACGTAAGCATCTCATTTCGCACGTCGTGATCTTTTTCTCTTGTGCTCTTGTTAGGGACCAGGTTTGGCATTGGTAGCAGAGGGTTGGTATAAACATGCAAATTATCAGTTGTCGTTTTAGTGCCATAGTGATGCTTGGGTGTTTTAGCAGTGGGGAGAGTTGGTAAGTTACTGCGTTCGCCTTTTGACATCTTGCCTCAAGTTCCCTATCAATTCTTCCATCATCTGTGAAGATGCTCCCCAAATATTTAAATTGCTGCACTTGTTTGAGTTGTTCGTTGTTAACTTGAATAGTTAGTATATTAGGTGTTCTACTTATTTTCAGAATTTCTGTTTTGGTGATGCTGATTTTCATGTTATATTCGTTGCAGACTGTGTGTAGCGCATTTACGTGGATTTGAAGTTCTTTTTCGTTTTCATGTATTATGCTTTGGTCGTCTGCGAAAAGTATTTCGTTCAGTTGGGGATGTACTTCTTCAGGATCGGCGTGTATGTTTTCATTATATTCTTTAATCATGTCACGGACTGTCATCATGCCAAAAACTGTCCCTGTATCAGCAATGCTGCTCTCCATATCTTTAGACGATGGTCTACTGCTTGAACACGCCACCGCTTCATGACTGTCCCAGCTATCTACAAGTGACTGAACTAATAAAGCCATATAAAAAAGTTGAATTTACCCAAATTGGTCACTGTATTCAGCAGTGTCATGTAGGTTCCTCCAATTGAGGGATCGCTGATTTTGGCATGGAAAGCCATTCCTGACACAAACATACAGTAGACTGCAACCTGGGGAGATACAAGACACATGCTGCACCATAAAGTGTCTTCTATTACAGTAGCACTGTAAAAAAAGTTATACTTACAAAAAAAAGGTGCTGGTACTGCGTAATACCAGAAACACAGTCCTGGTTGTACTTGTTTTAATTATAGCTGTCCTAGCTTTTTCTCTCTCAATCTTTTAAATTCAACAGGTTCTTTCCCAGCAAGAATTACTATCCTCTAATTCAGCTGCTGTGAAGATTTGTCACCTTTCTGTCCTGGCTGAACTGAGCTGTGTTTGAAGAACCAACATCACAGCACTCGGGATATTCCCATAAGTGTACCATCTTCTTCTTCATCGGCCAGTAAAGAGTTCCAACTCCGATGGTACTAGTAGCAGTCTGACTGTATGTCCATCCTGCCTGAGAGTGGCGTGTTGGCCAGATACCCTGACCACACACTGTTGCACTGTTCTCTTGAGACGATGATAATCCAACTGTGCCTCTGCACTGTTCACTCACTCCCAAAAGGCCTTCATAACATTTAGCTAGGCATGCATCAGTTTACCACTGAGTGGTACAGAACCAGCCAGTCTATCTGCCTGTTAGTTTTCCAATACACACAAAAATCCTGAAGAAAATATCCAAAGGATGCTAACTACCCTGACTCTCTGAAGCAACTGGTTAGTTTTGGTTGGTGTGGCCAATGTGAAAGTTTGCCAGTTCTGCCCTGAAACTGTTTAAATAAGTTTTTGCTGGTTACATCATAGCATGCCTCTCTGCAGACATGAAGTGCCAGTTCCACCTTTGTCTGTCTTCTTTTTTGTGTTTACTTTCTGTAATCTCTGGCAGAAAGTTCTGGTTGTTCATCCTCTTCCAGACTTTAGTCTTGATCCAGAACTTGAGCTTTGCAGGCACTTACATTTTACAGATGTAAAAAATTCAAGCAAGCAAACAATCAACCCACAAACCAAGTGATGAGCCAACCACTCAACCAAGCAATCTGCCAAGCAGCAAACTAATCAGTATACAGGGAACTAACACAATAAAAAGAAAACAGCAACAATAAAAAGATGCCTATACCATACTGTCTGTATCTACCACTTTCAGGGTGGTCTAAATGTGCCTTTCACAGTTTGCTACACATGATTTCATTTTATAAGCAGCCCTGCTAACACCACTGCTTCTGTTTTTCCTAGGCAACTTTTAGAATGACCAGAACAAGCACAGTTGCTAAAACTGGCATTTAGGTCAAAGTTTCCTTAAGGACAATGGCTTAACTCTTTTGGTCCCAAGGAATTTATTATGCGTTCATAGGTTCCTACCTAGAAGCCCAATGAATGCAAGATGCGCCGATTTTATGTCGCTCTTGACTATACCTTGGGGCTGATGCTAAATCCCCTGGGACTGAAAGAGTTAAATGATAGAAACTGAGAAACCAAAACAAAAATATTTAAAAAATGTTGGTCTTTGGCATTGTTTTACTAAGTCATCAACGTGAAAGGGTTAAGGCTGCATAGCTAATGCCAACAACTGTACAGGGTCAGATTTTAATTTTTGTCCTTAAGCATGTGACACACGATGCAGGTAAAACACTGTGATGCCATAATGACAGTTTAAAGATGGCCACCCCACTTTTGACATGCACCAAAGAGAAGCAGCATTCTTTTCTTCATTCTTTTTTTTTCACCATCAGTGAATGAATGTCTAGTGTGGTGATGCACATCTGGAGTCCAACAAGCACATGAGTGGAGTAGGAAGTCTCCAAATTGTGTGAGCTGTGTGCACTGTGTGGTGTACCTGACCCATGTAATCACCTTAACAACAATATTAACAGGTTACAACAATACTGAGAGGTTACAAGACAATGACATGGTTACTGAAATTTAAATCACACTGTTAAGGTTTTCATTTGAAGCCCACTGGCAGATTACCTGCAACAACAACCAGAAACATACCTGATGCAGACAGTAGAAGAGCAACACCACCATGTAGAAGTACCAGGGAAACTCCCCAGGCACTGTCTGGGTCACACTGGCCCAGTAGACAATCAGACAATACAGGACCCCGATTACCATCCTGTATAAGAAAGAGAACAAGCAAGCATGAATGTGAGTGGGTTAAAGTCAAAATGCTGAGATCGTGCATCCTTCCCATGGCAACTTTTGGTTGTGAGTCATGGACTTTTCCTCATTCTCTGAAGAAGAAAAATCAGAGCTCTCAAACTGAAGAAAAATAGAACAAGTAAAAAATAAAGAATGCATACATGTTTCAACAGCCACATGCTTCAGTCTAATTCTCTGTCAGACATTCACTCAACAAGACCATATTAGCTCTTACACATATAACATACACTAAACGATAAATTCAAGCCCTGGAAATTAAATACTTTTGCAAGATCTTTGGTATACCATACACCCACCACAAAATCAATGACAAAGTTGGCCAAATCATTATTCAATACCTTGGCAACTGTGAAGCTCTTCAATCCTTTGAAAAACCGACAATTCTGGTTGTGTCCAATGCCCTGTAAATATCACTTTTCTATCTTTTCTATATACTGACCTGTTTAGCCACAGCTAAACATTAAACACAAGCACTGGAATGTTCTCAAATTACACCTACATTTCTAACTGCTATAAACATAGTAATTGTATTACATTTAAGAGACATATACGGTATTTCTAAATAACTATTATCTTTTAAGGGGGCATGTGCTCAGCTAATATTCAAACAGTTTTTGATTGTATGTATAGGGGTTAGTAGGTATTAGTAGACAGACAGACTGATAGATATAGACAGATAAACAGGCAGACTGATATTGACAGACAGACAAACAGAACAAATGACTTACCTAAAAGGATAGGCTTTCAGCCAGATATCCAAAGGTCTCGGACCAGATGTGTATTTGCTGATGATTAAAGGCAGCATGACTTGAACAGGTACCACAGGGACAGCAAAGAGAGCCAGTCGTTCCTTGGGCATCCCAGCTTCTATCAGCTTCAGACCAGTTAAGGCATCAGTGGCAGCAAATGCTATCTGTTAGATGACATTAGAAACTTACTTATGGACATACAGTTGGAGTCTTTTCACACTTCTTCTTATTTTGTCATCTCACTAATACCAGATTGTAGCCCAGTGACGTAGTTTTCTGTATTTGTCTTGCACTTCTCTAGTGGCTTGGGTGATGAATTTGAAATTCTTTTGGCAGGTTTCTGTTACACCATTTATCCATATCCTTTCTTTCACCTTCCTCCCACATGTTCTGCTATAAAAAGTCTCAAATGCAGTCTGGTCTGGCTGAATTCTCACTAGATGTTTGAACCATTTCATTCTTTGTCTGTCAATATAATAATATATTTCACACTGAAATACCTAAATGTTGTATCCGTGAAAGGTGGAGAGCAGAGTGTCATAATTGCTCAAGAGGTCCCTGAAAGATAGGGTTCTTGGAACTCTTCGCTTGCTGCTGAAGATGGAGACAGAGCGCTTTTGGGAGTGTCCTGAGTGCTGCAATGTCAACTCTTAATTTAACATTAAACATTTTTTAAATTCCTACTGGCACAACTGGAAGTGAAACTCTGTGCCGGCTGCTGAAGATGAAGACAGAGCACTTTAAGGAATGTCTTGAGTGCTGTGATGTCTGTCCTCAACTCAACTCTGCTGAGCAAACCCTTCCAATCAAACCTGAACTTCAGCTAGTCAGTTATGTGCTAAACCATCATCACTGGTTACATCTAACTTAATATGCCTCTCTATAGATGTGAAGTTCATGTCATGGTTTTTGCAGGCTATGGGTATGTGGGCACCCAGGCCCGTCTTACATTTGGCCCTTCCAAACAGCCATCTTTTACACAGCAGCTGTATTTTATCATTAAAGCATGTTATGTTCATATAATAATACTCATGAATATCACTCATTCACTCACTCACTCACACACCACCCACATAGATACATCCGCACATACATAGACACACTCATTCACACATACATACAAACAAAAAAAACTATGACGAACAGAATACATGAGAGTGTCAGTGATCATCCAATTTGTGGTTAGGTTAGAAAATAAAATGTCATCCTTACCGACCCCTAACTTATCAGCCCATCTGTGAGCAAAACATTGAGAAAGAAGGTTACCATTGGAGAGGTATAAAATATGAAATGAGATTTTTATGATGATATATGAGGATCATTGTGCATGTCCACATCTGATACAATGACCGATATATGAAACATCTGAAGCTGAATGATACCAAGATGAACTTTAAATAGTCAACCATATACAGTATACCCTGAAACATCCTGGCAGCTAAATTTAGAGAGCAGCTTGAGAAAATGGAAAATAAGGTGACACTGCAATACTTCCAAGAAGCAACTGAATAGGGTCAATGAAGACACTGTGAGGATATTGTTGTATAATGCAGATATTGTTAGTAAGGTAGCTTGGAAATGAAATAATAAGTGAATGGTTTTTTTTTTAGAGTAACACAATTTTGTAAATTAAAAAGTGAAAAAATATCAAAAGAGAACATGAAAGAATAACATCCATTAAAGGTCATATAAGTTTTATTAAATCAACATTATTTGGTTATTATGCGACAGTACACTGATCAAATTTCAGTATAAAAGTGTAAAGAAAAATCATTGTAGTTGTTTCTTGGCGGCAATAAGTCAATAGTGAGGTCACCCCAGTTAGATACTAAGCCCGCAGCATATCTTTATGAATAATTAGAAGAATAATGCTGATCATCTAACTCCTCACTTCAGGATTAGAAAACTCTGGAAAATATTTTATTTTTCTCTGGACATTTCCCTAGATAAATTTTCATAATCCAGCCATGAATTCAGAAGTTCTCCTTTTCTGTACTTTTACGTCAGAGTGCTCAACAACACAACCCTATTGGAGATAACACCTTGGTACCTGTCTGGATAAAAGTCACCACAGATAACCTAACTCTAATAGATAAGGTCCTTTTTCAAGCCCTAAAAATCTTATTCTTCTATGTTCAACACCAGCCATGCCAAAAATTCAGTTCCGTGTGGGTTCCAAAGAGGACACTGCATCTAAAGTGACCACTGGTCAGACAGCTTGTGTTGTAATGTAGCTCCACTAGGTCAAATACTCAACCTCTGCGAGGAGACAAGATAAATCTAACGCCAGTGTACCAAACTTCAGAATGAAAAGTCAGCCATCCAAGGGAATCAGTCAGGTGCCATTGTAATTCTAAGACTCTTGTTCATCCATATCTTGATGGTGTTCTCCCACCTATATCAATTTCTATTTTTTTGCTCTCTTGCCTTCACCTTTTCCCTATAATATGGTTTTTAACAAAGTGCTGTGTTTTGTAATGTGAAGAGACACAACAAATGGTGTGAAAAAAGAGGCTGAGACATGTCATGTTAATCTCTTACTGTGAATGGAGCAGCTACAGCACCATTGCTTTCTGCATATTGTGTTGCGGCTCACAGATAGGCTGCAATATCTGGGTCTTTCAGTCCAACACATTAGATTTAAGCAAGCTAACTCTAGTCATCCTTTACAGGATGCTTGTTAGAAGGAAGTGGGTCTATTGTCTATCTCACCAAAAATGGGTCCCGGAACCCAAACGGGGAGGCCATAGGACCATACAGTGAGTCATCAACTGTCACACACTGAAAACAAACAACACAGAAACACTGAGTTTAAGCAAACCTTAGATGTTATGAGGATGATAGTGTATGACACTACTGATGGCAGACGTATGACATTCAGCAGGATCTTGTACGTTTCTATAATTCCCTGGTCGGGGTCCGCGTCAAGGTCCATGTGCTCTCTCTTGAAGATCCCCACTAATGTGGTGGTCACCAAAAACAGGATACCCATAAACCACAGGAATCCTGGGAAAAAATATGATCAGATACATCAATGATGATTAAATGTTTTTTCTAAATAATTTAATCAGTTAATCCCAGAAAAATCCAGTCAAAGAGAAGAAATTTGGCTCATTGGATCATCCTGACAAGAGAAACAACGGGGCACAGACGAAGACCTCAAGCCCACTGTCTGTTTATAACCCAAACTGGAATAGACACAAAGCAAACAATGATCAGTAAAGAAGAATATGAAATCAGTTAACTGCAGTTCCAATTTCATGGCAAACGGGTCACCCCCATAACTGCTCCGTTCTGGTGCCAGCAAAAGAAAACACTGAATGTTCCTCTGTCCAGTGTCCATAGTCAAAAAGTAAATCCAGCAGCTTACACAATTAAATACATAAGCCTGCCATCGGAAGTGCAACATAAAAAGTCCACAATTCATCATTAATGAAAACAGTAGTTACTACAAATCATCAGTTGCACATGCAATATCGCATAAGGCACTACCAGTTTTGTACCAATTCACAGCTCTCAGTGTCACGTCATGCACTTAACTCAGCAGCTGGCTGACGCAACTATATACTTTCAGTCCACATGTGAGGGGAATATGCAACAGCTAACCATGGCCAGACGCAAATAACTTGCCAAGACTATCAACCATTTTAACTATAAATCTTAACAAATGTGATACTATCTAATAAAAGAGGCATCACATATACAGTATCAGTGTGAGCTTTGGGTTGAAGTCTGCTGACAATAAAATAATTAAAATCTCTGTGGAAAACAAACTTTACCAACTGATCTGTTCTAGTCAACCCTACTCTTAAAGACCACTTTTTTCAGTGACACTTTAGCCATCTTCCATGAGGTGACTACATTATACTATATAATTAAACTGAAAACTATTCTATCCACTGCCCCAATAGTGACAATGCCCTAGCAAGTTATACTACTTAATTCAACTGTCACTGTGCACTGATCTGACAAAATGAAGATGCTCTAGTAAGTTATACTACAAAACTCAACAGTCTCTGTGCACTGACTTGACATAACGACGATGCCCTAGCAAGTTATATTACAAAACGCAACAGTCTTCATGCACTGACCTGACAGAATGACTTTGCCCTAATAAGTTATACTACAAAACTCAACAGTCTTCATGCACTGACCTGACAGAATGACTATGCCCTAGCAAGTTATACTACAAAACTCAACAGTCTTCATGCACTGACCTGACAGAATGACTATGCCCTAGCAAGTTATACTACAAAACTCAACAGTCTTCATGCACTGACCTGACAGAATGACTATGCCCTAGCAAGTTATACTACAAAACTCAACAGTCTTCATGCACTGACCTGACAGAATGACTATGCCCTAGCAAGTTATACTACAAAACTCAACAGTCTCCATGCACTGACTTGACAGAACGACAATGTCCTAATAAGTTATACTACAAAACTCTTCATGCACTCACCTGACAGGGTGACAATGCCCTCCTCCTGGGGCACACTCCGGATGTAGTTGTTGCAGAAATCAGCAGACTCCAGGGCCAGGAAGAGGATGTTGCCCAGGAAGTAGCCAGCAGTCTGACCCACAGAGTTGCAAGTGCTGGCCCAGCCAATGTTGGGTCTGCAGGAAACAGCCACAATAGCACTGTCAATGAAGCCTGGTTAACTCCCCCTCTAGCTCTCTCTTTCTCTCTTTCTATCTCTATTGTGTCTGTGTGTGTGTGTGTGTGTGTGTGTGTGTGTGTGTGTGTGTGTGTGTGTGTGTGTATGTTTGTGTGTATGTGTTCATGTTTGTGTCTGTGCGCCTGTGTGCCCAATTTATGACTCTTTGAAAAAAAAAGTTAATTCGTTAATTTGTTGTCTCTCTCTGTCTGTCAGATCAAATAATCATGTGATCTTGACCCACAGAGTTGCAAGTACTGGGAGAGCCAATGTTGGATCTGAAGCAAACAGTCACAATAGCATTGTGAACTAAGCCTGGTTACATGTCATCCCCCTCCTTTTCCAACTCTCTCTTACCCATCAGTTTTCATCTTCTTATTAGCATTCATCAGCTGTAAACTCTGGTGGAAAGTTGTGGATGTTCGTCCACTTATGGACTTTGGTCTGATCCAGAATTTGAGTTTTGCGTGCACATCCGTTATACAGATTTGGCTTAGCTGTGTGTAGACTGCTAGGCCCTTGTCTCTTAGGCAAATGCACCCTGACTTTGAATGAAAAATTCAAAATTGGTCAACAGAACCTCTGTATCTGATTTCAAGAAATATGACCTGTTCTTCTGTTTATCCACATCTCCACAGTCTCAGTCTGATTTTCTAGTAGCCTGTTACCTGTATGGGAAATGAAAAGAAGACAAGGAAATGATCATTAAAATAACCAATCAAGCCTATGTTCTTGATCCATCCCTGAATACTGACTAGTAAAATAGGTATGCTCAACACACATTTAACAAGAACAAAAACATACCTGGACAACATGGTCAGGGCCCAACCGTCCACAGCAATATCCTGTGTGGCGGCCAGGAAGTTGAGAAAGACGAAGATGGCCGTCAGTGTATAGATACAGACCTCGCCCGTACCTCCCTCACTTGTACTATCTCCTAGCAACGATTTTACTTTTGTTGACAGGAGCAGCATAAACAACCCTGCAGAGTAAAAAAAAGACCACACATAAAACCTCTGTCATTATTATCCTGTTGTGCCTTTATATGTCATATTTCGCTCACTGTCTAATCCTCCATTTCATTCAATCTTATTAAATCCTATTGATTTCATGGATGCAGGTTTTTCTGTCTAGATAATGCCTGAAAAAAGGCACTGGTAGTGCGAACCACCAGAAAACAAGTCTAATTGAACGAATGACAGAACAAACTTTATTTTGAGAAAGGTGAAGACAGATATGCTCCGTGCAGAGTGACAAGCATCATTACAGACATTGCTGGCATCCTTGGGATATTTTCTACAGGGCATGCAGGTATAACAGGACATGAAAAGACTGAAAGACCGGTGCATGATAAACTAGATGTTATCAAGGTCTTTTGGGAGTGAGATAACAATAGAGAGGTACCCAAAAAAAATCAACATGGTCTGAACAGGTGCAGTTGAGAGTAGGTATCTGGCAGATAATCAACTCTCAGTAGTGGGGAGTGGGTATCTGGCAGACAATCAACTCTCAGCAGTGGGTATCAGGCAGACAATCAACTCTCAGCAGTGGGTATCTGGCGGACAATCAACTCTCAGCAGTAGGTATCTGGCAGAAAATCAACTCTCAGCAATGGGTATCTAGCATAAAATCAACTCTCAGCAGTGGGGAGTGGGTATCTGGCAGACAATCAACTCTCAACAGTGGGGAGTGGGTATCTGGCAGACAATCAACTCTCAACAGTGGGGAGTGGGTATCTAGCAATCATCTCTCAACAGTGGGGAGTGGTTATCTGGCGGACAATCAACAATCAACAGTGGGGAGTGGGTATCTGGCAGACAATCAACTCTCAACAGTGGGTATCTGGTGGACAATCAACTCTCAGAAGTGGGTATCTGGTGAACAATCAACTCTCAGCAGTGGGTATCTGGCAGACAATCAACTCTCAACAGTGGGGAGTGGGTATCTGGCAGACAATCAACTCTCAACAGTGGGGAGTGGCTATCTGGCGGACAATCAACTCTCAACAGTGGGGAGTGGGTATCTGGCAGACAATCAACTCTCAACAGTGGGGAGTGGGTATCTGGCAGACAATCAACTCTCAACAGTGGGGAGTGGGTATCTGGCAGACAATCAACTCTCAACAGTGGGGAGTGGGTATCTGGCAGACAATCAACTCTCAACAGTGGGGAGTGGGTATCTGGCAGACAATCAACTCTCAACAGTGGGGAGTGGGTATCTGGCAATCATCTCTCAACAGTGGGGAGTGGCTATCTGGCGGACAATCAACAATCAACAGTGGGGAGTGGGTATCTGGCAGACAATCAACTCTCAACAGTGGGTATCTGGTGGACAATCAACTCTCAGCAGTGGGTATCTGGTGGACAATCAACTCTCAGCAGTGGGTATCTGGCAGACAATCAACTCTCAACAGTGGGGAGTGGCTATCTGGCGGACAGTCAACTCTCAGAGGTAAGGCCAATAATCATACTACTATTTGTACCACTGGAATTGGAACACTGAGCCGGCTGCTGATAATCGAGACAGAGTGCTTAGTAGAATGTCTTAAGTTCTATGATGTCAGTTCCAACTAGGCTCCTTCCCTTTATGAAAGTAACTGCTCAGTCTGTTGCCTTTACCTTTGCCTTTTATCTCCCAGCTCAGCATAGGCCTTCAACAATGATGTCACGCCTTGTGCAGACTTTCATGAGTGGCTGGACTTTATAGCTGGAGTTTACTTTTGAATGAGACAGCCAGTGTTATGTCAAACCACCTTGGTTGCCTGCTATGACATGCATGGTTAAATGACAGTGTTACTATTCTCTGCTTTCTTTATGTGTACTTTACTGCATCATTTCTGGGAACTTTTAGACCCGACCAATGTAGTTATCTTTCTTTATTTACCAGTTATTTTTTTTTATATCATGGATCAAGAAGAGAAAAAAAAAACACTGACATTCTACACGAGTTAAATATCAAGGAGAACTGGTTCATAAACAGCCTCCTGTCTCAAAAGTTAAAGTATTCTGGCCACATCAAATGTCATGATGACCAGGAAAAGAATGGGATGGTGGGTGCAGTTTGTGGAAGGTGAGGCAGGGATCAACCTCCTTGAAGATGAAAACAGGACATTGAAGATGCATATATCCTTTACACAATTTATATGTCCTGTACAAAAAACTCTTCACATACCCATGAGATACTGTATGGGGATCAGCCATGTTTTTCGACGACCAAACCATGACACGTAGATGGAGTCAACAAGTGGTGCCCATAACAGTTTTACGCTGAACGGCCAGTACACCAAACTGAACACTGCTTGGTCTGTGTAACTAACCTGAAACAACCAAATACAGCCAATCAGTATCAATTTACCAATTCAATATTCCATTTTTTTTAAAAATGTATGTGTGGGTTCTAGAGCACCATTTCTGACGGTGGGGGGAAAGGGGAGGAAGGGAGGGAGACAAACTTGAAAATACATTTTCTTGTGTGGGCTCCATGGCTCCATTTGGGGAGGAGGACACTTTGGAAATACATTTTCTTGTGTGGGCTCCATGGCTCCATTTGGGGAGGAGGACACTTTGGAAAATAAATTTTCCTGTGTGGATTCCATGGCTCCATTTATGAGAGGGAAAGAACACTTTTCAAAATAAATTTCCCTGGGTGAATTCCAGGAACTGTCTGAGTTACATCTCTTGCCATAATCTCTACCCCTGCCTAACTATCCCATTTTTATGGATCATTTTCTGCCCAGTTGTTTACTCCTGTGATGGCATATGAAGGTAGAGCCCTTACGGTTTAAACATGGTTGGAGATTTTTTAACTGGTCTCACTGTAAAGCTAAGTGATTTTAAGTAACTTTGTAATTGTATCATTGTTCATTTTTTGACATATTATGAAGAAGGCTTTTTAGCCTAAATGTTATTTCTGTCACTTATAATTGAGGCATTGTAAAGATGACAGGTACTACTTTTCCTTTTAAATGATATTTTTTCATGATAATCATTTAAAAAATTTTTTTTATTATAATGTCTAATCAGTACTGTTGTATGAAGCTGAAACATGGATAACAACTAAGGCAATTATAAATAAACTACAAACATTCATTAACTGGTGCCTGCGCAGAATAGAGGGAATTAAATGGTTTAATAGAATCACTAATACAGAGCTTTGGGAAAGAACAAAACAAGTTCCAGTGGACCTTGAGGTGAAGAAAAGGTGCTGGCGTTGGATAGGACACATGTTGAGAAAACCTGAGCAAATTATAACTAGAATATCTTTGCACTGGAACCCACACAGGCACAGAAAAAAAGGAAGACCAATTAACATATGGAGAAGGGAGCCAGAGAGTGAAGTATAAAAAGATGGAGGACACGGAGAGAGCTGCATGCAATAGCAAAAGATAGATAGACTTGGCAGAAGTTGGTTGAAAGCCTATGCTCCATTGGGGATTAGACAGGCAGGAGAAGAAGATAAACTAAACAAACTCTGTGCCATCCCCTTAATGAAGTCAGCTACAGTGTGCCTCTGTGCCACTACTGTCTATAGGAATATAATGTAGTGAGGCCTTAATTCTTCCATGGTGCGACTCTCATACCACAGTCAGAAAAACCATAAGAACGTCTTTTTTCTTTTAAATAAGAAATCGAACTTGATGATTTTGAAATTGTTGAACTTATCCACAGGGCAGCACAAAGATAGCAAAACAAGCATCTTAAAAATAAAGATACAACCATTATCAACAATGATGATGAAAACACCATCAACAAATTTACATCAAGACAATAAAAACCCCACTTAAAAAGTAAGAATACAGCTATCATTAAAAAAAAGGTAACAAAACAAAAATTATCAAAAATCTGATAAAAACACAACATACAAAGTAAGGATAAAATCTTTATCAAGACAATCAGAACACCACATACAATGTAACAATACAATCACCATCAACTAAGAAGTACCTTTCTACTCTGCAACAACATGGGAATACTCCCGGCCAGCCCCAGGGGAATGCCTTGCAATATGTACAGAAACATAAGCAGCATGATGCTGCCTAAGTCACCACGTATACTGCCATCACTGTCTGGTGACCTTGATGCCCTCCTGTCCCAGTGAGAAGACAGTGGAATGTGTGGAAACACAGAATCCGACTCTATGTCTGTACGTTCAATAGACGTCATAGGTCGGCCTCGCCTGCGAGATCTGAAGAAAAAAGCAAACGATTTTTAGCTGACCACATCTTCTCTGGACTGCAAGAGTTCCAGTATCTTCTTCTTCTGTTCTTTATTGCAAAATGGTGGGAAGGCCCTCAACACTTTCGCCCCAGGAATACCAACACACACAAATTTGTCAAACATAACAGCAATTTGTACAAAAGTCGTTTTTGTTAAAACTTGTTTAAAATATGTATTTAAAAACAATTTATTTAGTTTTTAATGTGTTTTTTTTTAAATATATTTAAAGATATATGAAAACAGTAATCCATTATTACAACAGGGTGTAGCATTAAATGGAATACATCATCCAGACCTTTAAAATACATACTATCAGGTCACTCATGCCCTGTGACCTCTACCACTGAGGCTTACGAGAAAATCTGATGTCAACTTGGTTTTTAAAAAGCCATCCCCCCCCCCCCCCCCCCCCCTCCCCAATGTTATTTTTAGTTAAAGTATTCAACCCTGACCTCCTAAATGTTTGCACAGGCACAAACTCGGCCAAAAGCATTAACTATGCATCCTGTAAACAGGTCATTACAGGCAAGACATAATGTGATATTTATGGGGATATTTATGGGGAGCTGGACCAAACTGGGAGTGTCATTTTTGTGTGTGCTTCTCAGGGTGAAAGAATTAACCATCTTACACTAAGCTATCTTTTGTTTTCCCACCTCCGGCAACTCCCTCCATGCCACCCCCTCCCCCAACTTTCCCCCACCCCCAAATGAAATAATTAAATTCTACGTTGTCTCCACAGCAGAGATTGGCTGCTGTGTATCCACTGTTATCTTTGGGTTTATTACAGGGTGAATGCAAATTATCTTCCGTGGTATGACTCGTCTACAACTACCCTAAAGCCATATGATGTTTGTCTCCCAAATTATATATCTGTGTCTCTCACTCTCTTAACCATACATTATTAGGTCTTCCTAAGACCCCCCTGTGTTGGCATCTTGCTATCTCTGCAGACGACAGTATCATTCTGTACTACAGGAAGGCATTGGAGTTACAGCCTATGGCGATGGCAGGCGGGAATAGAAGTTTATCCTATCCACAGCATAAAGAAGGGGCAGAAATGTGCAGACCAGGTACAGCCCATGCTGCAAGATCCCACACTGTTTACTCTAAAGAAAAAGGGCATGTCCTACACTGCTCTAAAAGTGGCAAAAACAGGAAGTAAAGACTGGGCTATTTAACTGACGGCCTGCTGACAGAATAGCTGAGGCCTAAGAAATGGCCAGCAGATGACTGAAAATTGTAGTGTATTAATGACCTTTCTCTGTTAGGGCTGGGGTCTCTGGTCTGTGATGATTCCAATTCTCAATACTCTGGCCCGTGAGTAGTGACAGTTGCTGTGGCGAAGCGGCTAAATGCTTGCGTGTGGATTGGAAGGTGGTGGTTCGCTCCCTGGCGGAGCCGGACTTTTTTCAAAAATGACCTTGACTCCCAGGTCAACCCAGCCTTGAGTGGGTACCGGGTGCAGTCCCAGGAAGCAAAACCCAGCGTGATGCTGACCACATCACCCATCTTGTGCCATTTAGTCTATAAAAATATGTCTAGCCCTATATGTCCCATACGCCTAAAGGCGTGGAAAAGGTCCTTTACTTTTACTGAGTAGACTTAGTTGATCAGCCCTAAAGACAACCAACTCCACAGTGCATGGGCTAGAAAAAGGAGGAGGAGGAAGAAGAATAGGAGGTGGAGGAGAATATCTGGTTATGCACTTAATCTACTAAAGGCCATAAAGTGGGATGTCACTTAGAGATCTCTTATATTTTCAAAACATAGCTATCGGGTCTCCTGGACGTATATATTGTTTTGCAGCTCCTCCAGGATAGGAACATTTAACATCATTATCAACAAAGGCAGCAAACTTCTTTTTCTGCCCTTTAACCATCAATGGAGCACAAAACCTCAACCAACTAATTAATGATTTCAGACAATTACCAGAAGCAACTAATAAAACAAACAAACAAGTGAAACAAAAATAACTGTTCACTTACTTGAACTCCATGTTATTATTAGTCAGAAAATCCCGGTCATTTCTGTCTGTCATTATTATTATTGTGTTTTATGTCTGTTTTCTGACAAAGAACAGACTTTTCTAGAATTATTGTTTATCACTCAAAGCCAGCCTTGATAATTGTTGTAAGGCTGTTTGGCCTTTTCAGCTGTAAAAGAGGAAAGAAAGCAAATATGACTGTCATGAAGATGGGTTATCATCACCATCATCAAGTGCCAATAAGCACAGGCATTGTTGTCTCGCCATCTCACATGATAACGAGAACCAAGAATCAGAAAAGGACACTGAAGTATGGGGGTTGGGGGGGGGGGGGGGGAGAGGGGGGTGGAGATTTTCTGTATGTTCTTTCTAATGTGCTGTATAAGTTGAACTTCATTTATTTAAGGCTGTTCTTGAAGCTGTGGTATCATATTGTGTGAGGTCTACTACTTGTTATGTGTTCATTATATTACTTCAGCTTGGCTCTCTGTTGCAGTTGGTACCAGGGCATTCTCGTCAGATCAAACAGTCACAACTTTTGTTTTTTAAAGAACTGAATGACTCACTTCAGTCTTTCGGTCCTCGTCTTCATCTAACTTCTTTATTTTTAATATGATCTCCTCTTTATACTCTAGCAGCTCTTTTTAAATTATAAGTGCAAAGGCTTAAGTAATAGAAACATTAAAAGTAGCATAAAGATCTTCTTTCATCATGTCACCGATACCAGGTTGTAGCCCAGTGTCATGGTTTTCAGTATCTGTCTTGCACTTCTCAGGTGGCCTGGGTGATGGATTTGTTGATCTTTTTGCAAGTTTCTGCTACACCATTTATCCATCTCTCCCTTGGTCTTCCTCTCGCCTTCCTCCCAGATGTTCTGCTGTAAAGTCTCAAAAGAAGTTTGATCCGGCTGCAGCTAGATGGCTGAACTATTTCATTTGTCTGTCAATATAGTCCAGACATGGCCTATATTCCAACTTTCTCTCAAATGCTGGTATTTGTAACCCTGTCTCTTTAAGTATTGTTGGTGACCTTGCAAAGACAGCACATTTCCCATAAAGACTCCAGATATTAAAATAAGAGAAACATCTGAAAAGATAATATAACTAAATAAAGTTAACGTAATGGAAATGTTAAAAGCAGTTATGACTACACAAATTTAAATAATAGTAACATGTAAAACAGAATTAGAACTATCTGTGTCCTAATCTCCATTTTGGATGGAAAGGAATAGACTCACCGCACCCCTGAAAAAATCATTTCAGAAAAGTCAACTAATTAAAGGTGTTTCCTTTAAAGTTGCATTTGCCTGAGAGGTGATGAACCAACAGTCTGCATGCAAATAAGCCAGATCTGTAAAATGGATATGCACACAAAACTCAAGTTTTGGAAAAAGACCAAAGTCCAGAAAACGTTTCTAGAGTTCATAGCCAGTGAACACCAAGAAGAAGAAGAAGAAGAAGAAACAGAAGAAGAAGAAGAAGAAGAAGAAGAAGAATTAAAACAGCAGAAATTAAAGTAACAGAAACATTTAAAGTAATTTTCAGGATAGACGCTAATGGCAATAACTTTAGAAACTGAAAAGGCAGAAAATTTAAAGTGTGTCCGTCGAATACGGAAAATATATACACACACACACACACAAATATATGTGTACATTTATATTTTCTTTAAAAAAAAACATAGTAGAAAATTGACTCAAAAACAGCATCATGTTAGAAACTGAAATATGTGGCTGTATAAACATTGCAACAGTTTGGAGGATGTGAAGTAGAAAGGGTTCCTGTTGAAAAAAAAAAACATGGAAGGATTGACTAGTGTAAAGATCAACACAAGGCATTCGAGACATTGTGGGCATGAAAATTCATGAGGCAGGAGACTGATAAGAGACAGAGTATAGGTTTGGGTTAGCCCTAACCCTAATCTCAAACGATATTAAATATGAAAGAATATTATCATTATGTGAACATACACAAACAATGAATTATGTCCCCTTGGGTCAGCTTTACAGAAATGTTAACTTACAATAGATTGTCCCATAGTGTTGCCGTTGCAAGGAGTGTCAAATTTTCTTTTCTTTCCTCAAACATCCTGGTAACATATGGTAACTATCAAATCTGCTCCAATATAATCGTACCCTTGCTTTTAAGCTAATTTAGGTAAAAAGCCGCAATTGTGCCACCATCATCTCATCATCATCACCCAAGCAGCAGCTCCACAGATTGTCGTTCTGATAACGGCACGCCTGAAAGTAAAGTCTTTCTTTCTCTAACCATTTTTCCAGCCAAAGCATCTTCAACAATCAATACCTTGTATCCACCCAGAGGTCTATCCTGTTTAGTTTATAGGTCTGTCCCAACATAATTTTTTTTTTTAAACCGGAGGTGTTGTCGTCTGCTAAAGTAACAATTACAAACATTCTACATTTTTGCTGTTAACTACTATCAGTATCACTGATCAGGTCAGTCGTGAAAACGACATTAAATTGGTAATTTTACTGGGCCACACATTTAGATGTAGAAAACGTTTTACCTCAATGTTGTCTGTAAAGTAAGGAATGAAGCGCCATAGGTAAAAAAAAAAAAAAGATAAAACTGGGTAAACGTTCAGTGAAGCAGAAGAAACGCCTGGTAGTTAAACATAACGTGTACAACTGCCTGCAGCTCTCTACGTGCTGAAGTTAGCAACGGATATCTCTTTCCGGGGTCGTATTTGCCTGATAGGAATACTGATAGCTTCTTGGTTCCTGTAACTTCAACCTTCCTTTTCTTCTTCTTTTTCAACTTCTTCTCTTCTTCTGCGTTCGCCTTTAAAGGGACGATTGACACGTCAAGTGGTTCACATTTATACCTCGATATATTGCTTTTCAGCCCAACATATCCGGTCATAAGACAACTTTAAATAATAACCTTTTACGATACGCCTCTTAGTGAGTTGATTTTTTTTTCTTTCTTTCTCAAAATAGGCCCTTGTACCCTATACGGGGTTCAACCGATCAATCGGGTGCTCTTTCTACAATGAAGGTTGGCTGCAATGTACCTCAAACACACACACAGTCTTAGGCTGCAGTTTATCTATCTCTCGATATTATCCTCCCACTTGTAACGCAGTCTACCCACTGCAAACTTGCATTCAACTTCTCCCTCCCGTAGGCTATAGTGATCATACTGACATCATATGTCAGATTTACTGACGGGGAAGTTGTAATTTACTTACTTGGTTTTTTCAAGGCTTTATTTCTTTTTTAAAAAGTACCTGTACTCACCATAGTGTCTTTAAAAAAAAAACTGAATGTAGAACTAAAATAAGGCCGCAAAAACGCCATAAAATATGGCCTTAGAACGTGTTGCATCAGTATTGCTTGACAGCCTCTTAAGCTTGATTTTGAAGTATCAGATGCTAGGCTCTCCTGCACTAAATGTCGACCATTAATTTTTGCTAAGAAACCCCAAGCACTTCTTTTGCCTCTTGACACTGAAATGTCTGTAAATAATCAAATCCTCTGAGCGAACATTATCTTGAATTAATAGCCGAATTTCCAAATCCATGGCACCTGCTGGCCAGTCTCTGCATTCCCGGCACAGTGTGATTATTACCCTACACAAGTCTGACTGTTCAGGTGGCACTTTGACCCACTCCTTTTCTCGCCTAGTGTTCTCAAGGATGCAGACCTGTCTGTTGTTTCTGCCCGAGCCATCCATGACTTCCCTCTTATCAGCCTCTGACTCTTAACCGTACCAGAGCTTCGTGAAATGGGTGTCAGTTTCTGCAGCTAACTTGAGATATGACTTCGCCTGCAGCACCTTGTGCCTACCTGCAACAGTCCGAAAAACCCAAGGATGTATTGCATACACGCTACTGGGGTGTCTCTAATGTAACCCAAAATGACCCGCATAGCTGCGTTCTGTATACGCTCTAGTTTGTCCATCTGACAGTTTAAGACGATAGGCAATCACAGGCCATAATCAACAACTGACAGGATCAGGTGCTGATATAGTGTGAGAAGCTCTGTGTTAATTACAGCCGTAGTCTTAAGTGAACTAAGTCCTTTTTTTTTGGCATCTTGTCACAACACTCTCCACATGGTAGAACCACGTTGTCTGTAGTAACAGTTTTCTTTGTGGATGTTAATGAGTGCTTGATTTATTTGTGCAATAAACATGGCCGCCATTGCTTTGTCACACGAATTTAAAGATTCGGGCATATTTGTGGCAGCACTACATCCCAGCTGAATCAAAACCGACATGGGATGCCCTGATGCGATGTTCTCTCTGAAAGAAAGCGTCAAGTGTTGTCTGCAGAGCAACCAAAAAGCATCAGAAGAAGCAGACGTCATGGCCTATTTTTCGGTTCTTAAGTGTTTTACCTGTAACAAACAACAGAATTATCTTTGATTTAGGGCAATCTGGAAGAATGATACCCCCGATAGTTTTATCTGTGCAATGAGGGCACGGTCAAGCAGGTCACATGTTATTGATGTCATCTCTAAGTTCATCATCTACCCATCTTCTAGCCCTGAGTAGTCAGGACTCTGATCACACCCGCGGAGTAGAAGAGTACATCAACATGTTGTGTTGACTTTATAGGATACAAAGCTTGGGATCTAGATGGTATTCTAGAGCAACGGAAAACAGAAAACAATGTTTAAAGCCGTCATCTTCACACTCAGGAGAACATAATAAGACGTCTTGGATAAGGCGGCTGAGGGCTAAAAAGGTAGTGGAGGAGGTGATTAATGGATGATGATGATGAAGATGATCCGGCTGTTTTGTGGCGCACGCAGTGTTACGCAGTACCGGTATCTTTTTTTTTCAGCGCTACTGTAATAGATATGTTGTGAAGCCCTGGTGATGGTGATGATGGTGACGACGATGACGAATGATGATGATGATGATCGACTGGCAGTCAAGCAGATTGAGAGATTAAAAAACAAATAAACATGCAGACATATAAAAAAGCATACAGAACATATACATAAATAGATCGTTAGATAGACAAAAGATTTGTAGAAAGATAAACAGATAAGTATTGGGTAGTACGGTAGGTCGGTAGGTAGA